TTGAACTGCCAGCTTCTGGTTAGCAGTCAAATGCCTTAGGCACTATGCCACCAGAACTCTTATACTCCCTTTTTATGTAAGACTTCTTCCTGCTGGATTCTGACTGTATTTTCCTTACCTGGTACCAGGAGTATGCTCGATCTGATGGATCAATGAGAATGGTGATGATCTTGGCTTTGGGGATCAGAGAAGCAGCTCTTTTAGGAGCGTCCTCTGAGTGGAAGTAATTGGCACTCTTCTCAAACAGAAAGTCAGTGGTGACATTAGATGGTACTGGGAAGAAATCCATATACCTAGAAAAGGAACATTTTTCTCAAAATAAGACTCTGGGTTTTACTCTTGTCCTGGCAACTGAAGATGTTCAAGGTGTCCCACAAATCCATTTGTTTTCTAAACTAAAGCCTTTTCTTTTTTTAAAAGGCATTTGTTCCAGATAATCAGCAAGATAAAAATATCCAGAGTGCTAATAATATATTTTGAAATGTTTTTCTAAATACATTTGTTTTGTTTTGTTTAATACCATGCAGAAAGGACTACGAAATAACAAAAATGTAGACAAAGAGTTCTCAAACTGCAATAATCAGCCTAACTCTACAAGGTGTATTTAGATGTAGAAATATAATACAGAGAAAAATCAACATGGTCAACCAAAAAGAAAATATGATAAAAACAGATGACATATGTTCAGTTCAAAGGTATTTTTAAAGGATTTAGACAAAATATTTTTTTGCTGAATCACAAGTAAAATAGTTTCTATTCTCACTAATGTTTTATGCTGATGTTATAATCAACCATAAAGTGTTAAAGTACATAATGGCTCTGGTGTCAACATTGTTTATTTGCTTAATTTTTTTTCCATTTAGAGCCATTTATATTCTTTTTAGAATAATTATAAGAAAAGTTTTAAAAATGCATAAATATTTCAAAATATAAAACTCTTCAAATTTCCCAAGGTCAGATTAAGTATGTTTCAGTGTGTTGAGGATTTAAATCACCAGTAGAGTGAACAAAAAGATAACATGTAGGCTCAAGGACTGAAATGAAGAACATATTGGATTTTGTTTAATGTTCCAATCGTGTAACACTTGTCAACTATAACTAGTTCCTCATATAGTAGTAGTTGTTTCTGAGACCCCAAGAGTCACCTTTAAGAGGAAAAAGGGCTTTTTCAGAGAGAATATAAGAATTTAACTTCCTCCAAGGAATTTTATATTTCATCATAGCCTTAATTTGGTAACAATGGCCTACCCTCTTCAATTCATAAACTTCCATGACTCTGTGCCACCAAGACAAGGTAGTTCAATAATTAGAGAAAAAAAGAGTCATTAACATTTATGTGATGACTTCTTTTTATAGTATGTTGGTTTTCTTTTAGTCATCTCACATGATAAAGATTCTGGTAGGATTCCAGTTGCTAACATATTGCAAAGTTTGGCTGGTGCAACAGGGTGATGTCTCGAGACTCTGAGCAGTAAAGAAATCATTTTATGTTTTCTGCGTTGTTGATGATATGCCATTCTGGCATCCTTTAAGGGGAAAGGAGATATACAAAAATTTTCAGAAAGTCTGATCTGCTTTCTGTTTTGTTGTATGTTTTATTTACAGAAAGTGCTAAATTTCAGGTTTTGTCTCATATGGAAGCTCACCTTGGTTTCAGGGATGCTAAGGTCATTCCAAGTATCCACTGGTTTCCTTCTTATGCCAAGCTTGTCATCAAGCTTGCTTGTTCAAAGAAAGGCTCCAAAAATTACAAAAGAAGGGCAAAAGGGGCTGACATTAGTTAACTTTTAGCTTACCAAAATTGCCTAACTTCTTGGCAGCTCTCCATAGCTGGAGAAGTTTAGCTCTAGAAAATTCCAAAAGCAGTTCTGGATCTTGGACCCATAATCTATTTTTATCTGGGTACAGAGGCTCTCAGAGAAGGCAGGCTCCAGTTCTTACTTGTCTTTATAGCCACATTTTTCTAACTATAGTGATTAGCACATATAGGCACTTAAAATGGGCAGAAGACATGAATAGACACTTCACCAAAGAAGATATTCAGGTGGCCAACAAACATATGAAGAAATGTTCACGATCATTAGTCATTAGAGAGATGCAAATCAAAACAACAATGAGATACCCTCTGGCCCCAGTACTAATAGCAAAGTTCAATAAGACAAAAAATAACAAATGCTGGTGAGGATGTGGAGAGATTGGGACTCACACACTTTTGGTGGGACTGTAAAATGATACAACCACTGTGGAAAGTGGTATGGTGATTCCTTAAAAAGTTGGAATTAAAAATACCATTTGACCCAGCCATTCCATTACTAGGTATATATCTTAAAGAAGTGAGAGCCAGGGCAAGTACAGATATATCCACACTCACATACTATTTACAATAGCAAAAAGATGGAAACAACAGAGCTGCAGAGCTGCCCATCAACAGAAGAATGGATAAGCAAACTATGGTACATACACACAATGCAATACTATGCAACACTAAAGAATAATGTTTAGAATCTACAAGATACCACATAATGTGGATGAACTTGGAGGACATTATGCTAAGTGAAATAAATCAATCACTGAAGGACAAACATTGTATTACTTCATTATTGTAAAAAAGTCAAGGGAAGGTTTATATGTGGAAGGAAACTTTCTTTGTTGGTTACTATGGAAACCCAAGGAGGGGTCCTACGAGTAGGGCTGACTCGAGGGCAAATAACAACAACAACATGGGTGGAAGGTGAGGAGAGGAAATACTGCAAAAATAAATAATTAAATAACTAAAAAAAAATGTTTGATGAATAAAACAGTAAATAAAAGGAATTTAGGTTCACATTATCAGGGTGAACCCTGGAAGCTCCCCAGATAGAGCCAAATTTGGAGAATAAAATTCATGTATCAAAAGAATTGGTAAGCAAACTAGAGTAGCAATTAAGGGGTTAAAAGTGAATGCCTGCAGCACTTAAGCTTTTCTGCTTCCATGAGATATATAAAAACCTCTACAATTTTTTTTTTACAAGGTGTGATTTTTTTTTTTTTTGGCAATATTGTACGTTTATTTGTTGCCTGGTTTGACCCTAAGTAGTCTAAATGATTTTGCTCAAACCAGATTAAGATGTTTATTCCAAAAAAGTAACCCAAACCAAACTCACTGCCATCAAGTCGAATCCGACTCATAGCAACCCCTCCTGGGATTTCCAAGGTGGTATCTCCACAGAAGTAGCTTGCCCATTCTTCTTTCCATGGAGTGGCTGGTGGGTTTGAACCATCAGCCTTCTGGTTAGCAGTCAAATGTCTTAGGATCTACACTAATATTTATTAGAAATTTTAAATGTTAAAATTTTAGGGTTCTCTATGTACCACTCCAACCCTCTATTGTATTTCCATATAATTAAAAATAATACTACCAAACCATAAGCATAAATTTTACATGTATTCTAAAATTAAACATTTTTCTCAGATCTTCTGATCATAAGTCTTAACTAGTTTATCAAAGCAAACTCTTCTCATTTTTATTTGTCCTACTTTGCTTATGCTCTTAGCCTGTACTCGGGTTGAATGATGTTTAATGCAGTCTTAGTTTTATCCGAAGGAGGTCTGGTGGGTAGAGATAAGGCATTTGGCTGATAACCAAAAGGTCGGTGGTTCGAACCCACTAGCTACTCTGCAGAAGAAAGATAGGGCAGTCTGCTTCAGTAAGGATCTATGATGGAATGAACTCGATGGCAGTGAGGGTTTTTTTTTTTTTTTTTTGAGTTTTATCCAATTCTCCAAGAAAAACAGATTCATGTATCCACATTAGCTACCTGTGCCTGGGCTAATTTTTTAAGTGACTCTGGCTTCTGAAACACACAATTTCCTGCCTTCTAGTGCTATGACCCCAAAGGACTACTGAGGTCATGACACTTCATAGAGAGGCAAAGCTAGCTGAAGACTGAATACGTTTGATCTTGTTGACAGCAATGCTATGTTGTTGTCATTGTTGTTATGTGCCATCAAGTCGGACCCGACTCATAGCAACTCCTCCTTGAGTTTCCTAGGCAGTCAGTGTCACTATGGAAGTAGATTGCCCCATCTTCCTACAGTTATTGCCAATAGAGTGAAATTTGCTATTAGTATCATTTGTTATTTGTGTTAATTGCCTTTTATAAACATATATTGTCAATCAAAAATGTTTGTATTTGAGAAGTTTTTAGTGAGTCATAATTAAAATCTTTAATTGCTCTTTAGCTTTCTGCTTATTTATGTCATCTCCTTGTAAAAATTGCTTAAGGGAAAGGGACTTTTTTGTTCCTACTGTAGTGCATATACACAGTACGTACTGTTTATTTTTTCACAAAGATTATTCACATGAATATTCTTTATTTCCAGGGAATCCAAGTAGTATTGCATTCCCCTTCACCTCCAAATACCAAAAAACCAAACTCACTGCCATCGAGTTGATTCTAACTTATAGCGACCCCTGTATGGTTTCCAAGGCTGTAAATATTTACCAGAGCAGAATACCACGTCTTTCTTCTGCAGAACAGTTGATGGGTTTGAACCACCGACCTTATCCACTACAGCACGCGAGCTCCTTATTCTACTGTAAGTATACAGTAGAATATTTGAGTATTCCATAGCTATTTGAGTTTGTAAGCTATTGAGTAGCTTACATATTTGAGTCACTAGCCAAATAGCTGCTCTGTGTTTGATAGTTTCACGATTCTCATGGCTGTTACTTAATATCAATATCCATCACTGAATAGAAGAATTAACAGTAAAAAAATATAAAAACCAGAATATATGCGAATCCTAGTAGGTGGTAAAATTATACTTAGTCCATTTTTTTATTTTCCATTCAAAATTCTTTCCATTCATCAGCTCCTGAGGGG